AATTCAGCACCTCGGCGATGCGATCCCTCTCTCCTCCCACCAAAATCAGCCCCCCTTCTGTCATATCCCATACTCATCTCTTCCCTCGAAAGAGGCTCTAGAGGAGGCATGTCGTTCTCTTCCTCTAGGATCTCCACCTCCACATTTCTCCTCCCCCGCAAGGGGTTCGGATTTCCTCCCATGCCATGGCCGTCGGCGATCTCTCTTACTTCCGATGTCGCCGGATTGGTTTTCATCTCAAGTAGTTTCTTCAACATTTCCTCCATTGCGGTGAACTTCCCCTCCAACCTTTCATTGTTGGAGGTGATTTGATTTTGAAGGTTGAAGAATCTTTCCTCCAAATCGGCTTTCAATTGGCCGACTTCGCCTTCCAAGACGTCAACCTTCTTTCCGACCATCTTTCTTCCCTAATGGATCTTCAAGAAAATCACTTTTGGGAGCCAAAAGCTCGCTGAAAAATCAAGATTTTAGCCGCTTAAGGTCCCAAAAACGACGCTCTGATACCAATTTGATAGGAAATACTTGATTTCAAGTATTTCCAAATCACTTCTACAGCAAATCTCGATGCAAACTGCTGTTCACAGCAGGAAAAACAGCAAAACAGTGGGAAAAACAGGGAAAAGCTGAGAGAAAATTGGAAGAACAGCTTGTATTTTACTAGTAGAAGAATAAAATAGCAAGATACAATTGATCCTCAATTCGAGAGGAGGATCGTTCTCTCCCAAATCTCTGGCAACGCCAAGAGCCCAAAGAAAACCTAAATCTACGAGATCTCAAATTTCAGCCAAATTCAAGATGCCCAAACCCTAGGAAAAACATCTATTTAATACATAAAATTCAAAAGGAATTCCCTAAACAATCCCTGCAATCAATTTCCCTCCTAAACTTCCTCAATTTTCCTTCCTGAAACCGTCCCGCAAGGCGTGCGTCACGCGCGGCTTCCGCCCAGGCGGAAGCAATCTCCGTCGTTTTGTTGTTTCGTCCGTGAACCGGTCCCGCCTGGACCGGCTAGACCGGTCCAGTGGACCGGTCTAACAGATACATCTTAAGACTCCCCAGATTCATATATTTTGTATAAAGTGGCCTTAAAAATATATAGATTTGATAGATTTGGGCTTATATATCTGCATTTGTCAAATGGCATTGGGGGTGCGCCAGCTTTACACCAATCCGACCAAGGAAATCAATTATTACTATCTTATAATTATGGAAGCCCAAAGAAGCTGAGTGTAGGACTTATATATCAACTTTTAGGAGAAGCCCAAGAATAAAGACTTACAATCCCTCAATTTTAAAAAATTCCAATAATGGATCATACAACCTGACTTTAAAAGTAAGGTGGCTCTGACTCCTTTATGTTGATTAAATTGGAAAGTTACGTTCATGGATAGAGGACACATAAGTATTTGTCTAAAGATGCTAATAATAACAAGATCGTGCAAACTATGATTTTGGAAAGCTCTATTATGAGATTGATTGTGAGATTTGATGTTTTGACTTTAATTAAGAATAAAGGTAGAGTACTTTATTAATAGAAACCTTATAAGGTGAGACTTACAAGCTTCAATATAAAAAAAACTATTGTATGTTAACCAAAAAAAAGAGATTTCTACAAATGGGTCTTACGATCTTATCCTATAGGTAAGATGGTCAAAAGAAAATATAGAAAATCTCAAATTGAGGAAAGACAAAAGTATTGATAGATTGATTTGATTGGCTTGGTTTAAATTGATTTGATCAAGTTTTGAGTGGCACCATGCAATATGCATATGTTTGTGATCTAGGCATTCTGATATTGCCCATATTAAAGTTTAGAAATCCAAGAAAAAACTCTGCCACTCAGTGGACTGCATATAGCTTTTTAGCTTTTAGCAGTTCCATTCAACTTTGGGATTTGATATCCTCTTATTAACTGAAAGTCTCTCTCCTCTTACTACTCTATTGGGATATCATTAAGGCAAACTTAATTTTCTTCAAAAATGTTCATTATATTAACAAAATTAGTCGAGTCAAACTAACAATTTTTTAGAAGTCATATTAAGCAATTTCTTTTGCTTTATATAATCCTTTTTATGTGTGCAAGAAACTTATAATTGAGCTTTAATAATTTTAACACTAAACAAATATTTCATGAGTTAATTGATTAGATAGCTTTCCTAGTGAATTGACCTAATTGTAGGTCCAATGCTATATTGGGGTTAGGGTGGGCAGAGGAGAATTAAGGTTCCATAAACTTTATTATATCAAAAAGAAGAAAACCCTCAAATTCAAGAGTTTTTCAAAGTTTGATGAATATGTGAACTCGAAGGATAATATAGTGATTTAAATGACCCTAGGCACCAGCACAAAATCCAGAGGTGCCACACTTTTTAATAAACTATAGAGTGACTTCCTCCATTTTAAGAATTTTATTAGTATTTTAAAGAATTAAAATGATTTAAGTTTGGTCTCATTTGATGTTCATTGAGCTTGTCTAAATGTGTAACATTAAAACCAAGATATCCAAGTAAATCCAACTGACACCATGGGCCCCTCAGGGTCTTGGTTTAAGGATTCTAATGCCATTTTTTATTTATTTTGGGACATATGAATAAATTTAAATTATTTTGAATTTAATAAGGTTAATCCAGTGTTTATTTTGTGTATGAAAATATAGATTTAATCATAAATATGATTTTTCAATCAAAGTTGCTCGAAAGTTATACCATGTAAAAGTTTTTTTTCTCTTGAATTATTATAGAAATTGTCATATTTTAATCACTTTATTAAATTAGTTATTTAATTTTGATTGGTTTAAGGTTTTGGAAATTATTTTAATTTTATTATTTCTTGTTGTCTTTTTTGTGCTATAGTGACAACAATGTAAACCATTTGAATTAAATTGAGTTGTCATTATTTTCTTAGCAATGTTACAAATGGTTGGACTTAACAAGTAATCATTGATTGCTATAGTGGAGGGATTTTATATGTCCATGTATTTTTGTGGATCCTACCAAAATACCTTTTTTTACAATGGCAAGAAGTAGCCAACTAGAGGATTTTAATCTAGAAGTTGAAAATTAGTCATATAGTGAGCCTTTAAACCGTCACACCTTAGGCTTCATGTACTTTTCCCTGGCAAAAAGATCAAGATCATTGATTGTAATTAGGCAGCCAGTCATTCGCCCCTTTGCTCTAGTTATGACATCTTTGTCTAATGCTTCTTTGGACACTTCATGGAAATTAAGCATACACCAACCTACTAGCCTTTAGGGTTAAGTGCATGAGGGCTATCAAGCTGTAACTTTAGCAAAACAGAAGGTGGCACTTGTAAGTTGTGGTGACTAAAAAGTTCAAAGGTGAATAACAACTTTTCCAAGATATACTCTAAAGTTCCTTCTCCCCCATCACCAACCACGATGAGAAAAAATAGGGCAAGCTCATCCCTGACCATTATAGACCCTGGTGAATGCCAAAGACAATTGATAGAAGCTCAAGGCCCTACAGATTTTGAGGATCGTAAAGGGTCCTAAAGTAGGAGGTGATGAAGCACATGGAAGCACAGGGCATCATAAACTATAGGATAGTACTTATTTGCTTGAAAGGCACAACAAACAAGTGTTGCAATAGGGACCATGGAAACAATCATGAGCATAATGAAGCTAGAAGAAGAGCATCCTAGTGCATAAGAACAAAGAAAGGCCTTAGGCTTAATGCCATGCAAGCAAATAAAGCATCAACACATTTGATAGAAAATAAGCCCTACTAAGAATATAACAGGGCATTAAATAATCTTTACATAACAGAATCCAAAAATGCTAAATAAAGAAATTAAATATTAAATTAATCAAAAGCTTTACTTCTACTAATGCAGCGTAAAACGGTTTCATAAATAAAGTCAAACCAATAGATAGGAAATGGTTTCAGCATTTGGGATATGCATAAGTATGGAAACGTTTTGTTCTATAAGCAGCATCAAGAAGGAAAGCACTGAAGGCCATTCTTCTATTGTTCATTTACCTACAAGCACATTCAGATACATAACAATTAAAAATTAACAAAAAGCAGAAGATAGAAATCATAACACGATTCTTCAATTTCCATGGAACCAAATTAGATTAACAATTTAAACGAGAAATTTTTCAGCGACAGAAATTTCTACAACTGAAGGAGCAAGAAGAAACCAATTACATGATACTGATAAAAAATATTCTAAGAGATATTTATAAGCAAATACCAATTCAAATCGTTCTGATCCTACCTGGCCGCCTGCTCAGAGAAACATTTGCCAGGCCGCCTCTGCCGAAGAGCATGTAGGTCTCCTCCAGGACAATACTCCATCACCAAGCAGGAATGCTGCTCCGTTTCAAAGTGAGTGTACAGAGTGGGCAGAAAAGGATGGTCAAGGCGCTCCAAAATCTCCCTCTCGGTCTGCGCTCTCGGAAGCTTCTTCCGGCTCTCCAGAGCCTCCTTGTTCATGATCTTCATGGCGAAGCAGCAACTCGTTCCGCTGAGCTCCGCAAGATAGACGGTTCCAATATCCCCACTACCGAGCTTCTTCTGAAGCCTGAAATGGCCAAGCACTAGGTCGCCGTTGCGAGATCTGACGGCCCGGATCGCCTTCCATCGGGCGTCGTTGCCTTTGTGGGGTTTACTCCAGACGCACGACCCGCCGCTGCTCGTACTGCACTCCTCACTCCCATCGCTGCTCGTGCTCCCTTCCCCTCCTTCGACGATACCCTTGCCTTCCGAGGACGAGTGCTCCGCTATCCCAGGCTGTTCTTGCATGGTACTCGGATCCGACGATCCGAGAAAAGAGATGGGGGCGGAGTCCCCTCCGCCGCCTGCTGGGATGCAGCCTTCGGGGCATCCCGTGTCCTGGTTTTTGACGAGAAGCAGTTGCCTCAGAGAAGAAGAAGGATGCAGTTGTTTCTGATCATTGCGAAAGCGACGGCAAAGGTCTTCGTGGCCAGAAGCGGCAGCACTTGGGGCCGTAAGAGGGCTCTTGGGGGCGGAGGAGATGGTTGATGCAGCAGCCATGGAATCGGTAGGTCGTCAGATGGAGATTCTTCTACCATCCATGATTAGCGACTTAAAAATGTAGCATTCCGTTGTCTTCTTTCTCGTCTATTAATTTCTTTGTGTTTCCGAGAAAATATTCCGAGAATAAATGGGTTTATTGGACGCAAAAATTGAGCTAAAGCAATCGGCTTCTCTGGCGAGTAAAAAAAGTTGAAAGAAAATCTTAAAAAAGACAAAGTACGTGTCGGTAAAGTCTTCAATTTAAATTTTATTTATACTAAATTTCTTTGATGTTATAATTTTATAAATATAAAATTTAAAGAAAAAATAATTTATGATTAAATCAGTTTAAAAATTAAAAAAATCTAATAATTTTCAAAAAACAATTTTTGTTTTGGATGTTAAAAGAAAAATGTCGGACTTGTTGACTCGTTATCAGTTAGAAAACTTTGATATAATAAAACATGTTATTAATTATATATTTTTAAATAAAATATAGTTATATATTTTTAATCAATATCTTGGGTCTTAAAATTTATATTTGTTGATGTGCACAAGTTTAAGTGTAGATTTAGTTTAGGAGAATAATTTTTTTATAAGATTCATAATGAGTTTGCGCTCGATCAACTTTATGATGGGATGCATGGACTTTCAATTGTGATCGTCTATTTAAAATACACGGCAATTACTGAATTATGATGGTCATAAAATTTGCTTGATTTTAAGATGAATAAAAATCAACTCAAACTTATTTTAGTCACGAAAAAAGCAAGAGTTGTATAGATTTATATATGCATTTTAGATATTTTACAAATAAGTAGCAAGTCATAATAGGAGCTGACATCTTGCAGGCCCCATTTGCATATGCCTTTAAGATATTTTATTATAAATAACTAGTGGGTCATAACAAGAGCTGATACCTTGCGGACCCTGACAATGAAGACTCATTTAGGGGTCATCAACCCCAACTCGACCAAGTTGTTAGGAAGAACCTCTCTCTCTCTCTCGCTCTCTCTCTCTCTCTCTCTCTCTCTCTCTCTCTCACACACACACACACACACACACACAAAAGAAAAGCCAAGGTTCATATGGACCACTCAGATCGGGACTTGTCCCTCAACAATTAGCACACTCTCAAAGCCACTCACTTCCACATTAGGCAAAAGTGTCATCAATGAAATTTATCATCCAAGCTATAGGGAAAGACCTTCATAAGAGAATTCAAGCTTGCCTCAACACACTCATGCAACCACAAAAGTCTACAACCCTACAATTGAATAGGCTCACTTCCCACATCAAAGCAATCCAAGGGTTCCAACAAAAGGGTCAGCAAGGCCTTCAATGGGCTTGTAAGTAATAGTCTTCTCACTTGGGCCCTTATCAATGGACTTGCCTACGTTTACTTAATCGTGGTTACTTGGCATAAGGGGACTCATAAAAGGGAGAAGAGTTGAATAAAAAGATATAGCCATTCTCAAGAGCAATTAGAGCCAGACATGTATCTAAGGTAGTCCATACCGGTAGCTATTTGATATTGTACTTTTTATTCTTTTTTATGTATCCTTCCGAGCAGTCCTCAGATCCCCAAGAATAATGGGTGAAGAAAAATATTTTGAATTTTTTGGCACTTTTTAAAGAAACAATTGGTATAGTGATACACTTTCCCCAAAATTTCTTCTTCTCTTTTCATACTCATCATAGGTTCTCGGGTCATATCCTTCTAAACTTGTCTACTATTAATGTCTAGTGTCACCCATGGACATATTTGGATCCAACACCTTGAAAGTTACGATGAGCATGGATTAGTATATGTGACTAAAAGATAAGCATAGATTAACGAGCAAGTCAATCCTAAACCATATGTAAACATGAAAAAAACCAAAATATAATACTCGTTAAGATCTTGTAGATATAGAGGAGAGATTGACAAAGATGATTCAAGATACTTTAGTGGGTCTACAAAGACATACACCAAGGGAGAGCACCCCTCAGGGATCCGCTGACTCAATTATTTTCAATTAGAGGAAAGTAAGCATAGTACTAACCTCGATGCCACTCACGCTATGACTATGTTGACCTCATTTTTGTATGAGGTCACTTGGACCAATCTTGACCCTAAACCAATTCAATTTCCAAATCAATTCAAACTCTAGGATCCTCCTAGAATCCTGACATTAGGATCTACTCTAGACCTCTAGGACCCTTCTAGAAGTCAGACTTTAGGATCTACCTAGATTCCCAAAGAAAATTAATATATTTTCAAAACTATATATATATTTTTATATATATTTTTTTTAATCAAAACAGACTAGCGATGAAGAGTTAACAAGTTAATTAAATGATAATATGCAAGTGCATGTGTCACATCAAATAATATAGAAGTGAGTTGAAAATCGTTCCCAAGGGAAGTTAAATGTTCTAAAAAATCATCTTATTACTAATTTTACTAATCGTTATATTTATCTTACCATAGATGAGAGGTGTGTGCTAGTGAAGGAATCAAACTACAATACCCTAGAAATGAGTTCTAAAGTTCTAAATAAATATGAACTTATGATAGATAACGATTTATGTGCACATAGATTGGTCTATCAATTATGTGATGTTAATTAGAGCATATTTAATTCCTCGTCTTTATTGAGCTGATTGGAGTTCTAGCAAAGTCATTAATTTCACCAAGGTTTAAACTTCCTCCTTAGTAATTCAAAAGTCTTATGTAAACATGTCTATATTTTCAAGCAATTTGTTTAAGTTCTTCTATTTATTCCACTATGCTTTCATCTAGGATATAGATTGCACTATATTTTAATTTTATGCATGGCATATGCACAACTAAATTAGATTCGAAGGAACAAGAAATAGTAATGAAAAAAATCTTTAATTTCATAGACCTACTCTATGTAACACATGCATTCCTATCAAATTACATATCTAGAAAATTAAATTAGCTAAGCATTGTACTAAACATAATAAGGAAATTAATTATTGCAAGTATAAAAATAGTTATAATAGTTTGAATTAAGAAAGATAAAACTCAAATTAATGATAAAAATGGCTCCCAATCTCCTTTTGCTCTTTGATCTCACTTTCCCTCACCCACAATATAGAGAATGAAAAACTGCACTAAAATAATTAGCCCCCTCTATTGAAATTCAACCAACAATTTATATTTGAAGTTCAATAACTAATCATAGTGCCATGGCGTGGTGTTGTGGTACTCCAAAATTAGTTAACATAGAAACACTTGAAAGATGTTCCATCATGGTGCTTTGACTAAATCAATGTGTTATTTAGTGACATGACTATGTTAATTGCTCTGTTGCTACACCTGGACAATTCGGCATTATGTGCTTAGGGTAAAAATTCATTGTTCTGATGCTCAGATCCTCTGTAGATGCGGCACATTGCTCTCTATATTGGTTTTATTCCCATGCCGCTACGACGCTCCAAGAACTGGCATTGTGATGCTTAATGGCAATGCTCTGGCTCTTTTATATCTATATTTTTGGCATCCTAGCACTACGATGCTCTTAGGTATGGCGCCACGACACTACTCAATCATTTCTCGTTTTACCTTCATTCCGTGAATTTCCTACACAAAATGATAATGTAAGATAATTTTCATGCAAATTATGATAACTTAAAACATCATACTTCACAAACTAACAAAAGTCCTCAAAATTAAATTGTTACTTGTCCTTAAGTGATCCATATGCACAATGTTTTAGATTTATCTCATTTTCCTAGAATGCAAGTTTTTGAATTTAAAATATAAGAAAATAACATCTTTAGGGATTAAATAGTATTGCTAATTGTCAATAACTCAATTATTGCAAATTTTGATAACATAATACTTTATCTTCATTATTATTCCCTTTAAAATGAACTCCTAAATGTGTATGTGAACTTTATGAATATCTTAGCTAGGGTTTAATGGTTTTAAGTTTAAGGGAACTTCAAATTTATTTATTTTTTCAGTCATAGCATAAGTCTCCTAATGTATCATGATTCCTATAATTCAACTTAGGGTTGAACATCCTTAGATTGATTAAGTGGGACATTGATTTTAGGTACCAAATTTTGATATTTTAGTAATTAGCTTTCCTTCCCTTTTCTTTTTCTTTTTATTTTGATTTTGATTTTTCTTCTTTTTCTATTTTTCATGTTTTTGTTAAGTAATTCTTAATGATTTTGACTACTTATTGTACTCTCCCACTTGTGTAATCTAAGTTGGTTCTACCCAAGGTCTTTTATAGATATCTTGATTACATTAGTGCACACTTATGATATGTCTTAAAATTAATCTGAATAATCCATTCTCAATAGAATTTTAATCAATTAATCCTAAAAAGTAGTCAAGAGCTTTAGTACATTTTAGGAATCTAATTTATTAGGATGTACTAATTTTGATGATACTACTAGTTATTGTCAAGTTTGCTTAATTTTATTATTTTTTTAGTTTGAGCACTAATAATCACATAAATTATTATTTTTCTTAATTTAATATTTATAAGTTTACATTTGAAATTAATATAAGATAATAATTAATTAACATCTAAATGTGCAATAGGAAAATTTAAAGGCAATTAATAAAATTTTAACATTTAAAAAAGCAAAACATAATTTCATTATGCATCCCTCCAAACTTACATTTAAGCATAGAAATGAAAAAAAAAAACATACAAAACAAGGGAACTCTACTTCCCTATTCCTCATCTTATCCTTCTTTTTCCTCCTCTTCTTCTCCTTATTCGTTTACTATATTTATTGATAAACCAATCCTTTTGAAAGGATCACTACAAAAAATTCAGGCATTACCAACAATTTTTTTCCGGCGATTCATGATAGATTTTTGGCGGTTTTGTAAAAAATTGGCGATTTTCTAGTAGTTCAAAAATCGTTGGTAAAAATCGTGTAGCAAATGATTTTCGGCAGCTTATTTCAGGAGGTGGAGACGGCCGGTAATTTTCGACGGTCATTACGCCGGTGATGACAGGTTAATTACTGGCGGCATACCGGCTATCAAAACCATCGGTGTTACCGACGGTCAAACCGTCAGATTTTCGCCAATTGACCGCCGGCCACCGCCAGTAAACTGCCGGTAAATCACTGGCGGCTTACCAGCTGTTAGAACCACAATAATTACCGGCGACTAAACGACTGGATTAT